TATGACAGGCTGGGGATCTCTCACTATATACAAATCAAAAAGTTTACATAAACTTTCTAAGATTTGTAGCCATCAGAGTAATCTTCACAGGGCTGGAGAGATGGCTCAGCAAGTCAGAGTGCTGGCCACCCTTCCAGAGCACTCAGGTTGAATTTCCAGCACCCACATGACAACCCAGAAGGGATCCTACACCCTCTTCAAGACTCTGCAGGCACCAGCTGGTGATACACAGACATTTGTGAATATAAAACATCCATTCACATAAAATAAGTGATTTTTTTTTTAAGTTGAAGGCCAAGGAGTTTGAGGTCAGTCTGGGCTACAGGAGACCTTGTCTCAGAAATAAAATTAAATTAAAAAAAAATAAGGTAAAATAAAGACACCATATATATCTGTGGCTACTCAAGTCTCCAGTTACTGTCCAAGTTAGTTGCCCCCACAACAGGGAAGGTTAGTCTGTGTTGTATTATGTGGAAGACACAAGTGAGGCCCTGTAGTGCATGCCTGTGATCTCAGCACACAGGAGGAAGCAGGAGGATGACAACTTTAAAGCCAGCCTAGGCTTTAGAAGTGAAGAAACAGGCTTAAAGATAACGGAGTGTGTGGTCAGTCACATATCATGGGAAAGCTCCCAGTTGGAAGAAGAACTGGTTGTCAAACCCGGGTCTTTTGACTAGTACCGTGGTTCTCAACCTATGGGTCACGACTCCTTTAATAAACCTCTGTCTCCAAAAAAATATTTACATTACAATTCATAACTGTAGCAAAATTACAGCTATGAAGTAGCAACAAAAATAATTTTACGGTTGGAAGTCACCACAATATGAGGAACTGTATTAGAGTCCCTCAACCACCTAAGCTCTAAGAAGTCTGTGGACTGGCCCCCTCCTCCCATCCCAGATTGATGTCCTGGTCCTCTAAAGCCTGTGACGTCCTAGAGATGTATCTAAGCCCTTCTTGGCTCAACACCCTCCACAAAACCCCCATTGTCACAATCTAGAGTGTGAACCCCAGCCTGAGAACAGGACTCCTCAAGCTGTCCCCAGAAGACTCCATAAACCTAGGCTCAATAATAGGGGCTGTGAGACACTCTCTCTTACCCAAACCTCTCATACTTCAGAGATGTGGACGCTGAGTTCCCAAGAGAGGATGCGCAGGGAGCCACAGTCAGAGCTGTGAAGAGGAGAATACCCAGGTTTCTAGCTCCTTGTTTGGGTTCTATGGACTGTTGTGAACGTCTCTATGCTTTTCTATCTCTCTGGTGGCTCCTATCCAGCTCTGCAGCCGGATGGAGCCAGCCATCTGAGCTCTCTATTGTCGTTTATAAATGCAGAGAACAGTGCTGACCTGCTTCCTTGGGGAGGGCTTGTTAATAAGCAGTTTAAGGCTTTTAGAGTGAAATGCTCCTCAGAGGCTGTTTCCACACTCCAGGAAGACATCCCACTCTGCCTGAGCCTCAGCCTCTCTTCTGGCTGCCCTGGCCTTGCTCTTCAAGGGAAGCCTCTCTCCTCCATTAAACATACACTGCGGGAGTCCACAGTGTGGGGTCTGGTCCCCAGGGCCACATTATCACCATCCAGAGAGACCCCTTGCCCCTTTCTTATGAATTCTGAGTCTTTTCGAAGAGGGCAGCTATTCAATGGCTTCCTTTGCCCCAAAGACCCCTGTGCATTTCTAGCTGGGGAGAAAGACTGAATCTCTCACCAGAGCTGCCTGGAATCCCCTCCACAGAAGAGCTGCCCCAGAAGGCACTGTTCAGCTTGACGCCAACCCTCCTCCTGCACACTCCCCAACTCTGCTGGACATCTCAGAACATACTTCCAACCCTGCTTGAAGAAAAGGAGTATACACGCCAAGCCAGTCCAAACCTTGTACGGTCCTTCAACACCTTCGACAGGATGGATATTGGGATAGCATACACAGTCGTGAATGACAGGGGGTATCTGCCCTTAGAGGATATTACATACTGAATGATTGTGGGTCTCTCCATCCTAAGCAAAATGAATACATTTGGAGATAGGACCTGTGTTGTTTGATTAAGGAGGGAATCGGAGTCCCTAGGGATAAAAAATCAGTATAGGGAAAAAATATACACCATCATATACATCATATTCGTCTACATATGTACACACATATATACACATACAAATACACACACACACACACACACACACACACACATGCTTTTCAAGACAGGGTTTCTCTGTGTAGCCCTGGCTGTCCTGGAACTCACTCTGTAAACCAGGCTGGCCTCGAACTCACTCATATATATCTACCTACCTCTGCCTCTTGAGTGCTAGGTGGTACACATTAGCTAAAAGACACATCTTTAATTTCCAGTTCTTGGGAAGTTGAGGCAGGAGGATCTTATATTTGAGGCTAGCCTGGGCTACACAGTGGGATTTCTGTCTCAGAAACGAAGAAAAAAAAATTAAAAAGAGCTGGCCATGTGCTCAGTTGGTGGAGTGTTTGCCTAACAGGAAGTCCTGGGTTCTATCCCCAGCAGGATGTAATCCAGGCATGGTAGCCACATGCCTAGAATCCCAGCGCTAAAAGGATGTAAAAAGGGTTGGAAACTCGAGGCTACATATTGAGGTCCAGGCCCACTGGGCTATGTGAGACCTCGTCTCAAAACAATAAATAAATAAAATTAAAAACAAAGACAACGGGACTAGAGAGATGGCTCAGTGGTTAAGGGTACTGGCTACTCTTCCAGAAGTCCTGGGTTCAATTCCCAACCCCCACATGGCAACCCACAACTATCTGTAACTCCAGTTCTAGAGGATCTGACGCCCTCACACAGACATTCGTACAGGCAAAACACCAATGCATGTAAAATTTAAAAAGAAATACAAACCCACCAGAAAGCCTCTTTTAACACACACACACACACACACACACACACACCAGGAAGGGGAGTGGACAGGTAAATGTGCAAGGACACAGGGCGGGGGGTTTGGGGGGAGGGAAGGAAGCCCTAGGAGACTTTTTTGTTTGTTTTTCAAAACAGAGTTTTTCTGTGTAAGCCCTGGCTGTCCTGGAACTCACTCTGCAGAGCAGGCTGGCCTCGAACTCACAGAGATCCACTACCTGCCTCCGCCTCCCACAAGTGACACCACTGCCGGGCTGAAATCATTCCTGAGGATTTAGCAGCTCCCAGAACACTATGAAATACATCTCCATTGTGAAGCTGTACAGCCCTGTGACATTCTCTTGCAGGAGTCTGTGAGGAGAACAAAGGGAGGAGAGGGTCATGGAGCTGTGGGGAAGACGGGCGGAGAGAGGAACAGGACTGCAGTGTCACTGCCACCGGCAAGGGCCTCCTTCTGCCATGTGCGAGGCTCGCTAGGGAGTTTTACACACCTCCGATCTCCCTACCGCCTCAGACTTTCCGATTTAATTGGAATAGGTGTGATCTCGGGGAGAGAGGAGGTGGCTGTTAAAATCTTCTGAATGATTCCAAAGTTCAGGGAAAGTTTAGGAACCACCAGCCGAAGAGCCGTGCAGACTTGAGGGGAGAGAGCAGTGGATGGGGAGAGGGGTGGGTGTTGGGCAGGAAGCCCCTGCGGGGGGGGGGTAGAGGGGGGTGTGAGAGCATAGGGGCAGGTAGAGGAATGGTGAGGACTCAGCGAGAGGTAGGATTAGAGGAGAAGTGGACTGGACCGGATAGGGCCATACAGAGGTGGTCAGGCTTACATCAGCTGGTACCTAGAAGCCTCAGGAGCTGTTGGGGGGGGGGGGGGATGTCACAGTGACTTTCACCAGTTCAGAGGATCAAGGGTGTTCATCTGGTGAGTGAAACATACAGTAAAGACATCTTTTGTTGGCTTTATTGGTTGGTTTTTTAGAGACTAGGGTCTCACCTTGTAGTCCTGGCTAGCCTGGAACTTGCTATGTAGACCAGGATGGCCTCAAAGTCAAAAGATCTATCTGCCTCTGCTTCCCAAATGCTGGAATTTTTTTTTTTTCCTTCAAGACAGGGTTTGTCTGTGTAGCCCTGGCTGTCCTGGAACTCACTCTGTAGACCAGACTGGTCTTGAACTCAGAGATTCATTCACCTGCCTCTCTGCCTGAGTGCTGGGACTTAAGGTATGCATCACTACGCCCAGCTTATTGCTGGTACTTAAAGACACCTCCCCACCATGTGATTCTAATTTGATGGATGAATTCTACTTCCAGAGTGCAGGTCTCCAGATATGTCAGAAGTTATAAAAGAGATCTCCACTCGAATGGCAGGTGTGCAGTGCTGTCTTCTGGCTATCTGACAGGTTCTGAGGACGGTCAAGGCAGTGGTCTCCTGTCCAGCAAGGAGACGTTAATTGAGTATCTACTATATGCAGGCAGAAACGTACACACTTGCTTCCCTCAGCACCACTTTACAGATGCAGAAACTCAGGCTCAGCGACACTTGCCCAAACCTGGTCTATTTGATTCAAAAGCCAGGGTCTTCCATCAGACATCTTGTCCTCGTTCACTGGGGAGAGCTTGTCTCTAAGGGTCCCTCCTATATAGTGACAGCGACTTCTTGGCCTCTTCAGAGAGACAGTCCTGGCGAGCGATCGTGGTGGGCAAGTGCAGGGCAAGCTGGGCTCGAGCCATGTAAAGAGTGGGGACAGAGGCTGGTGTGTGTCTGCCAGGGTTGCGGCGGGCACCGCCCGCACTTTGGAGGGTGCGGGGTCCTGGGAGAGTTTGCGGGGGAGGTGCACGGGGCGCCCTCGCTCGGCCGCACAGGTGTGCCGGGTGCCATGGAGACGGCGCGGCGCCAGCCCCCTCCTTCCCTCCGGCCCGGGAGGCGCGGAGCGGGCGGCAGAGTCCTGTGGACCGCGGCGCTGTGAGGGCGCTGCACCCCGGACCCCAGGGAGTGAGCGCCCCCTGCCCGCCTGCGAGCGACGGGTGAAGCGGAGACGAGGGTAGCCCACCCAGACCCCAGACCCTTCCTGGGTCCCAGCCCATCCGCTTGAAGGTGCCCACCTCTTTTGGAGAGTGTCCAGGAGCAGACAGTATGGAGGGTAAGTGGCACTAGGGTAGGGGGTTCAGGACTGGGTGGGCTATAGACCCAAGAGCAGGGGACAGGGGCGGGGGCGGGGGCAGGCAGGGAAAAGAGATACTGACCACCTTGGCTACCAGAGACAGACAATACTTGTGTGTGTGTGTGTGTGTGTGTGTGTGTGTGTGTGTGTATGTGTGCGACAGACAGACACACACACACACACACACACACACAAAGATGCAAAGACCCTGAGTGAGGGACAGAGATAGATTTGAGGGTGCTTCTGTGCTCGTGGGGTGGGAGGGAGGAAAGACATGTGTATATGTGTGTGCACGCACGGGAGAGAGACAGAAAGACGAAAACAGACACTGAGAGACACATACAGAGACCCAGAGAGATAATGACAGAGTGATGTGGGGGTGCTTCTGTGTCCAGGATATGTGTGTATGTGTGTGAAGAGTTGCGGGGACACCTCTGCACCTGTGGTGCGTGTGCATGTATGTGCATGCATGTGGGCGCCATCCCCAATCCGTAAACAGGGGCTGTTTTGTGACCAGGTGAGGATAGTTTAGGCACTACCTTTAGACAAGTGTCGCCAACTTGGCTGGCTTGCTGGACTGGGGAGAGGGATGGAACCCAAGAGGAGGTGGCCTCCATGATTTGCCTAGGAAGGGACCTAAACTCAGAGCCTGAGAGGAAGGAGAATCTAAGGCTTAGCCTGCTGGCTTCAGTTGTATCAGGCGAGGGTCCAGATCCCTCTCTGTGTCCACATAAACAAAGGGAGTTACATTTAAGAGAAGACTGGAGGCTGGTCCCCTGGATGCTGGGTACCGCTGAGATGGTGCCTATGCCTTTCTGTGCCAATGGCTATCCAGCCGGTGAATAGAGGAACTTACATGTAATAGGGCATCGCAGGGGGGCTGCGAAGATAAATCAGGACTAGTTGTATTGAACATATTCATACCAGTAAGTGGGAGCTGTTGAAAGCCCTGGGATTCCAGTGAGTAATTGCAAGGGGCACCATCGGAAGTTAAGGGGGGGGACTTTATAGGAAACCTTGTGAGGTACACTGGCAGGTTTCCAACGAGCTAGGGTTTGAAACACACACACACATACACGCACCAAGAGATGGGAGAGGAATACGCAGCCCGGAATGGTAGGCTCTATAAGAATGGGGGTTAGCAACGTGCTGAAGCCCCAGTGAGCAGAGACAGAGCAAAGAGCACTGTGAAGAGAAGATCTACTCAGGGTTCAGTGCTCTGGGACAGGGGACAGACAATTTTGCTTCGTACTGAGCTGAGCAGAAGACCAAAACCCCAGAGAGGTGTAGTGGACAGAAATTGTTGAGCCACCTGCAGTGAGCGCCACCCCTTCAAAGCCAGGACGTACGGCATCCCAGGGACCTGGAGGCAGGCGTAGATGCAGCCGTTGCTGTAGAGGAAATTACAGCAAAGGAAAGAAAGAAAGGAAGATGGGCACACGTTCTGATTTTCAAAAAGGGTGGAAGGATAATTTCTGAAGCCCACTAAAAACTACTCGAATGAAATGCTGGCCTTTTAGTATGCCAGAGAAAATTATTGGATGTGGAGTGAGCATTTGAGGGAATGCGAAGCTTGGCACTTCCTTTGCAGAGGAAGCCATTCCACCCTCTTACAAAGACCCGTGTGTTCACCCCGACTCTGTAAACCGAATGGATTAAGTCAAAGATAAGGCACACCTTCGGTGACAGACATTAAAGAAGGCACTTCGGAGTGGGGTCTGGGGCTAAATCGTACAAGAGCAAGGCCGAGTTCAGTCCCTAGCACGGGGACACGGGGAGATAAACTCTATTTAGGATTGTATTTATTGACACGGAAATGTGTTCATTGTCCATGGTGGATGGATTGTGTTATGTGAGTCTATGCTATGAACATATTAAATGAGTATTTAAAAAACAGATTTAGAATACACGCAGAAGAATCCCCTCATGCAATGTTATATAGTTTTATTAATGGATATCTACCTATCTATCTATCTATCTATCTATCTATCTATCTATCAGCTATCTATAAATGAACCATGTATACCACGAGAGTTGCTAGCACATATCTCCTTTGGCTTCTCTGGTTTCCAAGGTATCCTCTAAGATATTAAGTTGCCTCAGGGAAACTGAAGTGAGACCTGGAGAGATAGCAAAAAGACAAAAGGGGGCTGAGGGTGTAGGCCAGTTGGTAGAGTGCTTGCCTGACACGCAGGATGCCCTGGGTTCTATCCCCAGTAACTCACAAACTGGACTTGCTAATGAATACTTATAATCCCAGCAAATTCAAGGCTAGCCTGGGCTAAAGGAGAAGGGGCTATCTGCTGCTTGTCCCTCTCTCCTGATTGATGGCTATTCCACTTCGTAAGTTCTGGGTTGTTCCTGCTATGGCTTCAGAAAGCAAAGCAGAGAGTCTCTGGGTGCAGGCAGGATGGGGCATTGACTATACAAGGAGCCCACTGCCCCAGCTGACAGCTCTGGGCTAAGGGGATTCAGTGTACAGCAATCAAATGCATTATCTCTGCGAGAGTATCCCAGGGCATCCCCATCCGGAGGCTTTCCCTCTGTCTTTTGTGGCACTGGGAACTGTGCCCATCTTTTAAGAAGTTAAAAACAGAATGACAGGAACAAGAACATGTTTGGAGCTGGGGTTGGCAGGCAAACACTTGCCTGGCACGCCTCAGGCTTCAGGTTTGAGCTCCAGCTCAGCAAAACAAACACAAATTTTCAGGAAAAAAGAAAAATCTAGTGTTCGTTAGGAGTCTATGTAAGAGCAAAGCACGCCAAATGTCCTGTCTCGGGCTGGGTTCCTGGGAGGTAAATGGACGAATTCTAGTCGTATTAAGTGAACTCTCAAGCAACACACAGGATCGATGAGGGGGTCTAGAGGGCTGACGACAAGGGATGTCATTAAAGATCGACAGCAATCTCTGGGTGCTCGAGAAGGGGAAAGAAAAAGCATGTTTGTCACATCTGTAGCTACTGAGCCCAAACAACTACAAGGCAACAGACTCAGGATTTAAAGCTGAGGCTGGAGAAATGGCCCAGTGGGTAACGGGCTTAGAGCACAAGCCTGAGCTCCTGAATTCATCCCCGTATCACCCACATGAAAGCCACACTGGGCTAAAGCACAAGCCTGAGCTCCTAAGTTCAGTCCCTCATCACCCACATGAAAGCCAGGCTGAGGCAGGCACCTAAATCTCAGTGCATGAAGGAGGGAGGGAGGAAGGAGGGAGGGAGAGAAGGAGGGAGGAAGGAAGGGAAGGACAGGTAAGTAGATCCGGGGTATGTGTGGGGTGGGGTGGGGTGGGCTGGGGGGGGTTGCAGGTCAGATCTATAGCAAACTATAGGTTGAATGAGAGACCTGTCTGGGAAAATGAGGTGGAAGCCGGCCTGGGAGATGCATGCCTTTGGTCACAGCACCCAGGAAACAGAAGCATGCTGATCTCCATGAGTTCCAGTCTAACCTGATCTACATACCCTTTCTCTGACCTAAACCTAATTCTACCTGTAACTGTAACCCTAACCTTTACCCTGACCCTAACCCTAACTGTAACCCTGAAAACGACCTTACATTTCCCATTTAAGATCCCTGTGGGCGGGTTTTCTATGACATCCATTGTAGAGATTAGGACACACAGTTTACACAGGTGCTAATGCAGGACATTTAGGGGATAAGGAACTCGTAGTGCCTTCATTAAAGCACACGTGCCAAAGTGCAGGAAAATAACCAAGATCAGTGTCCCATTAGTAAAACAGTGCCACATCCGTTAAAGAGATTACGAAATACAATTTGAACATATAAAACACAATATGTTTTAGGGGCGGAAAAAAAAACCTTCAATTTCCTCGTAAATGTATGTGTGAGCAAGCAGAGTTAGGAAGACAAAAAGCCAAGGCTACATAATGAAACTCTGTCTCCAAAATAACAGAAAATAGGGAGATAGAGGAAGACACTTGAAGCTGAACTCTAACCTACACACACACACATACACACACACCACACACATACACCACACACACACACCACACACATACACCACACACACACACACATACACACACACCACACACATACACCACACATACACACACACACACATACACACCACACACATACACCACACACACACATACACACACCACACACACACACCACACACACCACACACACACACCACACACACACACAC